TGACTGCATCTGCCGAGTATAGAAGAGATTTATACTTCATAAATATAAATAATATATTATAATTCATACATATATTTGTATGGTTTTGTTGCCGACGAGTGTTTTTCCGGGAACTTTTGCTCGTTATTTTACGGAGCACTGTACTGATTTACTTACATAACTAGTTACACAGTAATACATTTATATTGATGACGATTTATACAGCGCTGTTTAATGTCAATATTTTAAACAGACCTCATGAATATTGTTGAAATTTGCATCACTCAACAATAATCTCAAAATAACAATTAAAACATTTATCTATGTTGAAAATAATTATATTTAGTTGTAATGAACAAATATCAACGTGAGATGAATTGAATTAAAAACATTTCTACGATAACAAAGTGATACAGATTTTCCGCATTTTACTTCTCGTTTTACTTCGCATTTTACTCTATATATGACATTTGCAGATTTACTAGCAATTTTTCAAATATTTCAAAAAATCTATAGATAAAATAAAATGCAGAAAATCCAAAACACTCTATATATGAAATTCGCCAATTATAGAAATGTTGATTGCCGCCAATTCTTTCATTTAAAAGAGCGACATTTTTATACATTTATCTTAACTCGAATTTTGCATCAGATTATTTGTTTAGAATGGCGCCTGATAAATATAGCGCTGTATACATCTGACACATCCAATATATATCATATGTCTTGCAGTATACGACAGTATATACATATGCGTATGTCGCAGCGACTGGCGCTTATGCAAATACAAAATTGTCCACCGCTTGCCGGCAGGCCGTTTATTTATTGTTCCCGTTGTGAAGTATAATCTGCCGTCTCCTCCGGCATGACACAAATCGATAGATTTGCCAAGCAGATTAGGACCCGCCGCGAAACCCGGGCTGACAGGATGCGTCTTGGCCGCGCGTTTTACAAGTTGTTTTACAACTCGGGACTAACCGCACGCTGAGACCGGTGCGATCAGCGAGAACTACCGTTTTCTTTTGTTCCAAGAATGGAGATTTCATTTCTTTGATTCGTTCTTAATCGTCTTTCTTTCGTGATTTTTTAACTCTTTTAAAGACAATTTGCGTTTTTCTTCTGAAAAGATTAAAAAGTCAAAATTACATTCTTATCTTACGCATCGACCACTAAAATACATCGAAAACAAATTTCTTTTTTATTTTTAATACACTATAACACAATAAATTCTTTTAATTCTTATTATTGATCTCTAATTAGGATGTTCTTAAAAAAAAAAATCTAACAATAGTTAATGATAAAGAAAATTTTGATTATAAAATTGATGCTTTTTAATCAAAAACATATTTCTTTTACTTTATTCTATTACTGCTTTCTATTATTTCTTTATTTCACTTTAGACGATTAGCTTTCACTTTATACTCGACACTCGATATTTTTTTTTTCGCTCGATGCTCGATCCGGTTAAATCCTTTCATGCATATCGCCACCGATCGGATCATTAGTGTTACAGCAATTAAGAGATTACATGCGTTACATAAACGCGGGTATCAACTTGGTATTCGTAATCGAGTGCGGCGCCGCCGCTAACCAGTGCTACTGGTAATACTGGATATTCCAGAATATTATATTCTGGCCACACGAATGTATCAGAATACTTTTTAGAATTTGTGTAAAACATTAAATATTCATAAAAGCGGATTATTCACCGAGAGGGGACCGCTTTTACTCGGGAATTTTTGGGAAAAACAAAAATAGCTGACTGAAATATTATTCAGCCGTCATTTCAAAGCGGTATTTGTATATCTTTCTTTCTTTCTTTCGAAGTTTAATATCGAAGAAGAGGAAAGAAGATCGGAGTAAAAATATTAAAAATTTTACGTTTATTAAATTTATGTCTATATAAATTAATAATGGGAGAGAAAAAAAAGTATCTAAAAAAATGATAAAATACGTCTTTTAGAGAAAGATCTTTGGAAATTGACGCGGCTATTGGTTCAGTTGATTTATGGATTTCACACGTAAATACGCAATTTCACGACGCCTTCGTTGTTACGACCTCGACGTAAGCGTGATGTAAACGTAAACGGTCCATCATGCAACGTACACAAGTCGCTACATTTCTACCAGACGGCATTTCTACAAGAGTGCCTTTATAGGGCCACTTGGAGAATTACGATTCAGTGAACAACCACCTCAATTATCAGGCTCATTCGCAGTAACATTGTTTACAACTGCTGAGAGCCGTAAGTATTTATCTACGGGTCTATTCGTTGACGGCTTTACAGTTCGTCCACGCACGTAGCCACGACGAGCCCGCGAACCAAGTTTACGCACGACGCGAGCGTGCACAAAGCGCTCGTTCTCCTTGGAGAATAATTCTTCATTAGGAGCAAGGCTCCTTCCGCGAAGGAACGCCAATAATATTCACCAATGCTTGCAAGAAAGTAATATTTAATCGTACGCAGAGATATAGTAATCAGTTAAATATTTTATCATGGATGAATAACGCAGTATGAGATGCATTCCGCGAACAAAGTTTTTATACGCCGAATGAATAACAAAATATAATTGTTTCGCCTAAATATTTCAGCTTCTAAACTTTATAGCAGATTCAAGATATGTGCTCGATGTTTTAAAATCTTGAAATTTTTGTTATTCATCCAAGATTGAGTGAGGCAACGTAAAATCCGTTTTTCGCTCGAGTTCACTGAAGAAGACGAAATAAATCCTGATGCGTCGGTTCCACAATCCTTTCTCAAATTGCTCGTAAACAATCCGTCGACTGACCGAATAGATTCTCAGGACCTCACCGCGACCCTTCGCTCGAGATCTTCGTCGCGAATATGGCTAACTGTCTACGGTAGAAAAGGGAGTAAAAGCGTAACGGTGCTGCATCTTTTCAGAATCCTTCTCCTCCTCCTCCTACTGCCTAGTTAGCATCCTTGCCAATGGCGGATTCTTTTGTTTCCCGCCGTGGAACCCCAGTTGAGATCCTATCTGATGTAAATAATTATCCTGGAACCTGGCAGATGCTGCGAGAGTTCTTCTCTCTCCCGCTTCTCCCCTTCCCCTTGTTCTCCGGCGAGAAAAGGAGGAGGGAGAAAGGCGGCCGCATAGAAGCCGCAGAGAGAGATTTTCATTTTACCTGGAAATCCTGTTTATCTTTGGTACCGCGCACCGACTGCGTGCACAGAAATACTCAGGATTCTTTAGAATAAAAGAAGAATAATGGAAGGAGATATCGACTCGTTATCCATGCTCAGCAATGAGGATTTCGAGTTCTACCGACGACGAGTTCTTGTCTTAATTAAGGCAGCGGTAGATTTTTATAATGTTTTCTCCCGCAGATATAATAGCAATAACGGTTAACAGATATACGTTGAAAACCGCGGCCGAATAATAATTTTCCGCCGAACGAGCGTAGAAAATGAGGTAAATATAGCGATCGCACTTTAAGGAAGGATATTTGATGTCGGACAATTACAGATGTTATATACCGACCTTTTGCGCAGTTTCTCAGCGCGTAAATATTCTCTTCAGTGAACTCGATATGTGGCGATTGTTGTTCAGAAGCGATATATTTCCCGAATGTATTACATTTTATATTGTTTTCAGATTTATCTTTGCAAAAGAACAGACATCTCTACCACGCACGAGGTGATGAATTATACATTTGTTGTAAATTTGTTTTAAATTTTATTTACCATTTTTTGAATATCTGAAATTTCTATGTTAATTTCATATCTTGAAAAAAGGGTGAAGCTTTTAATATTGTATTATCTTTATTATTTTGCTTTTCATGTAACATCATCAGTGACAATAGAGAAATACTGCAATATGCTTAAAAAGTAAGATTTATATGCAACGGAGAGACTCGTAAGTTCGAGATAAAGAATGTTTGCGTGAACGTTTGGTATTGCGCAACGTCTCAGCGTTGTATCGCGGAATACCCGAATTATCGTTCATGTAATTTTCCGTCGTATTTCTCGCGTTTGTCATGTTACGAGATCAGATATAAAGATTATATGGCGAACATTACAGCCGATATCTCGCTATCGCCCTTGACGACCGTAATGTCACCCCGGAGGAACAATTTAGAACATTTTACTCATGACACACGTTCGCCGCCTGTGGGTCTAGTGCACGTCGTGCGTGGCAGGGATGTAATTTATTCTCAGGGTTGGTGCACAACACTATCGGCGACAGGAGACACGTCTCAGCTGCATGATTGGTGCTCAACGTCGACTGAGTTACACGCAACTATGGAAGGATAATAGTCGGTGAGTGTCATTATTCGTTTTTATTATGTAGAATATTTCTAAGAAATATTTTTTAAAATGTTTCTAAGAAATACAGTTGGCGATGTAGTTAGTTTGTTCGTAACGTAAAAATTAAGATAAAGATTCATAGGAAATTGAAAAGATAATATTGCAAGAAATCTCATTTCTTCATTTAGAAAGCGAAAGTTTGTTTTGTATTATATTTAAAAATTAAATCATTAAAACTAGTATTTTTTCGTCGATAAATGAAAATGTATAATCTTTATCTTATGATAAAAATATTATATGTAGAATAGAGTACTTATTATAAAGCGATATTCGACAAACAATGCAATTTATTAGATATCGAACAACCTCATTAGATACGAACAACCTTTATCGCTCACTCGAAACCTTCAATATTTTTTACATGTATTTATTGATGACGTCCTATTACGAATTTCTACGAATAATGGGGTCCAATTTCTCTTCTTATTCTTTCTGGTCGCTTATAATTTATTGAGTTCACTCAATCGGCCTCGTTTCGAGACACTTCTAGCAGCATGCAATAGGTCCGGCATTATTGCATTCACCATTACATTCACTGCTGACTTGATTTATGATCACGAGACGTCGATGACTTCGATATCTTGTCGATCACGCAATTATTTTTTTTTTGACTTTACCTTTTATTTATAAAAAATGCGTTTGTAAATGTAATCGATTGTAAATATAAAAACGAATATTGAACGTCGATGACAAAAAATATCTTGCAAAATATTCAAAGATTAATCTAACGTCAGCATGACGTTATATACTTGTCTTATTTGCATTAATTTAGAAAGTTGATCTCGATCTATATTTACTTGTTTAAAAATTTTTAAACTTACATGAAATTAGAACTGTATCTTGCTGTCTTTCTGTGATACTAGCGCATAGAGTTGTTTAAAAACTTTCATGAAATTCAATGAAATTGTTGTAAAGACCGCTAATTAATTTTTTACGATCAATACTGGGAGACTAAAATCTTACCGAGATTTTATTATTTACAATTCATATTTTAGATTTTATTTTTAACATTAAACATTAAAATTGAAACTTCTGAAAAAGATGATCAACGATATTTGAAAAACACAATATGTATAGATTTTAATGCGCCCAATCGATCATATCTTATCTATCTTCTTCTAAGCATCGAATTACGATCGCGAAGCAAAGGGAATTCGAGGACGAGAAAAGTAAGCATCAGTAGGTAGCCGTCGAGAATCGAGAAGAACCATCTAAGCGAATACTTACATACCTCGTGATGAATAATAACGGCAGATACTGATCAGATTCTGTTTTATTACTGTCTGATGGCACGAAAGCTCGCTAATGGCTTAGACGAGCGGTAACGGCTGACCATTGCAAGCTTTTGTTACTTCTTGTTCTTTCCATCTTCCTCTTCTTCTCGTTCGATAAGACGGTACGGGCGGGCAGCGGAATGATCGTCTCGGCTGAAAATAATCGTTATTATATATCCACGAGAGAGACTGACTTTCCGATCGAGTCCCATCGGTTGTTTTTTTTTCGAAACACGCACCCCTACGGGTTTACGGGGAATCCTTCGTCCACTCTAATTCGCACTGCATTGGACCCGAGGCCTCCTCTCCACGTGCGCGCGCGCGCCAAGCGTGGAGAATCGCAGCACTCGCGGCGGTGTCGTAATTAACGGCCTATAATAACAAATGATAATTTATCGCGCCGGTGTGCTCTTATTCGAATAAGCTCCAACTGCGCCGATAACTTAAACTAGATCTCGATCGCTCGGAGCGACAGTGGTACGCTTCCGCGCGAACCTCTGTCCTGTTGCGTATCCTTGCTCGAGTTATATAATAGTTCGAAAGGAACAACGAATGAATCCTGTTATAATAGCTTTGTTTCTATATTTTGATCACTCTTTCACGCGAGTGACGTTCTCAAGATTCTCAAAACCACTAAATGCGAAGTGAAAAATATGATACATTCTCGATCTATTCGGGAGAATTAATAATTAAAAGCCACTTATAGCATAATAATTTTTTTACATCTCATTGTAGATGGAAGTTAATGGAAACATTAACTAGACAATTATCTTATCCCCATATAACCGAATAATTAGATGTAAAAATGTAATTAAATTTTATTAAACAGATAAAGTTTAAAAACGTCATACTTACTTTTAAATGCTTTTTGTGCCAATATGCATTATCTGACAATCTCTGTTTGGCTCCCGACACGTTAAAACGTTGTATTTAATTAGCACGTTATCATATAACATTATAGCGTTATCTCTTCGCAATTCGAAGCATTTTAAAATTACAAGATATCTCTCCGTTTTTATACGTCTTCATCCATTTGGTCGTCATTACGAGCGGACGATTTTGCCTCCAAGCATTATCTCACAACCACTAAAACTTCTGAAGCACCGTTGAACGTCGAATGTAATAAATTGAGGTCATTTCTCTTCTCCTCGCCGATGTCCTTGCCTACTCATTGGCGGCGGTTCTGCCGCTTTCCGGGAACGCGCTGCCGGCGAAGGTGTGAATCGGCACACAAACTAGATGCTAGACACCTAGAGCAGGTGGAACGTAGAGGAGGAGGAGGAGGAAGAAAGGAGAATCGCAAAAGGAACAAGGAACGTTTACCGAGAACGGCAGCGCGCAAGGCTGGCTCGACGGCGGAAGAAAGGCGGTTGAATCTTCGCCGGTGCGATAGCGCTTAGCCTCTTACCGCGAACCGTTACAGAGAGCTAATTATCGTCGTGCTCGAGAGCCAACAATGCTGCCGACTGTCGAAGTCCACGCGGGCCACGAAGCGCGAAGATTAGCCGTCGCACGCTAAAAGGCGTTCGTCTGGAAACGAGCCTCTGACGTGCGAAAGCGCGGACGGCGCGGGCACGCATCGCGTTTCCTCGGAAGAGGCAGAAAGAGACGTCCTTGCTGGGAACGAAGTGAAACGGCCGCGAAACATTTCGCGGTTTTGTTTTCCGCGGCTCGTCGACGTGGGTCTTTGCGGCCTATTCACACGCGCTGTTTCAAATATCGCTAGCGCGCAATGTTAAGGCACAATGCAAAAGCATTTATGATGGGCACAAAGAGAAATGTGTCGCATTTCATTGTGTTTTCCACACAAGCTCTCTTTATAACAAATGACAAGTAAGACGAGCAACATAGAACTGGCTCTGTGATCTCTCGTCACTTTTTTTACACAATCTGCAATTTTAATGCCTAGCCAGGGATTCTTCTGTTGTGCACGGCAGAGGTAGTTTCGGCGTATAAGGATATGTAACTCGATAGGATAATAACGTGAGACTGACTGCAGTTATGCAAATCAGCATTCAAAAGACACCAGATCCCATGCTACAAATCTTGTGATGGTTGTACAATGCGCACAAACCCTTCCTCACATTATCCCAACTACAGATTAAATAATAACTTCAAAATTAATTACAAAATAAATTACAAAAATATGAAGCACACGCAATATATTAGAAAAACATATTCGATACAAGAAACGTACGTGGTTTCTCCGGTCAAATTATTTTAAATCTTACATCTCATTGGGAAATAATAATTAAAGTAGCAGAAAATTTAAAGCATCTTCAAATCAATTTCTCATTTTCACTCTTTGATCGATTTGGCTGTACATCAAAATGTAGATGTTAGTAGACATTAATTCTGATTAATTGAAAAAAAAGTACGTAGAATATTATTTAAAATATAAATTAAATGAGGTCTCTACATTCTTACGAGAGATTTACGTAGAAAATATTTTCGTAAGGCTTCCCTCTTGTGGTCTAGCTGTATTTAACATTTCGAAAGAATGGCGACGCGCGTTGGCCAGTTTAAGTTACAAATTCTACGAAATATACGAATGACCTAATACTGCGTTCACATAAGTCTCACGTATCGCTTGTGCGGCCGTAGATTACACACGCTTTGCGTGCGCAAACTTTTTTCCTCATATCGCGCGCGCACGATTACTATATTAGCAAGCTAAACAAGCTGTATGTAAAGACAATTCATTAAGATAATAACGATGCTGGAAGCGTCGCCTGAAATAAGAGCCGTTCGATTATGCAGCATCTTTCGTCCTCCGGCTTAATTCCGACACGAACTCGCATCACGGCTGACAATCATTATCTAAGTTATCACTTCAGCTGTAATTACATTAAAATATATGCGGTCTCTCATTAGGGCACTTATGGGATATTAACGAATCGGAATGGAAACTTCATTCATTAGCTTATATCGCTCTCCGGTCAATTTGTCGCATATGCACCCTCCGTGTTTACGAGAGGACTTATATAATATTTGAACACGTGACTTTTACGAACGGGGACCCAATGAAAGGCATCACGGACAGCCGTGGTTAAGCGATCACGGTATGTTTGTTTTTTTCCATCTGGCACGGCACATAGGTATGCATATGTATACATATATTCGAGTCGAGTCGCCGCTGCGGCCATTTTCTCGCGTATGACGATCTCAGATTGAGACTATTTTTTTATATCAGATACCGAAAATTGTCGCATTTTCAACGCTTTGCTTGTTAAACGCGTAAAGTAGATGAATTTATCATTGATCGGATTTTAATCGTAATCAAAGCAATGAGAGCCTTGAAGAAAATATAATTCCACATTTATTTAATCGCATTCGAGTAGTATATTTGCTTAAGTTCGCTTACAGTATTCAGTTTACAAACATAGGGAAATAGGTACAGCGCTATTTGCAAACGGGAGCAAACGCATGCTATCAAAAAGGAATAACGATTCGCAATATTTGACTTGAACGTATGGCTGGGAATATTGATAACACACGCGATAAAACCATCCAACAAGAACTGTGATTGGCGCAACACTCGATACGAGTGCAATAACTGTTGCAGATAATCGAATTGCATGTAGTTGTGTGTGCGTTATCGCCAGGTATGCGACAACATTATTCGGGCAAAGCGCAGCTTTATCGCAGCTTAAATCGTTACGCATAAAGTATACATAACATATGTTTTACAATTTTGGCGTTATCCAGAAAAATTTACAAAATTTGAGTACAGCTGCATACTGTTAAATATTCTTTACTATAATATTTTTCTTTATTTTTATTTTTCTATTATAGTGTATTTTATTTTTTTAAATTAGTAATATAATAATTAGAGTAAGAAAGGTCTCACAGTGGCGTTTTATTTATCATATGAGATGCGTTGTTATTGCAACATTAAATAAAAGTGAGATTTTAACAACATGTAGATACATTGAGACATATAAAAATAATTGCACATATTCAGCACTGCCTTATCAATTGGTATAATAATTCTACATGATTTATAATTTTGAAATAATAGAAAAATCTTTTACTTGTCATTATTTAAATTACGTTTTTCTCGGTAATTGTTTTTTACGAATGACACAAATATTTAAAAAGTTTAACAATTTTGTAAGACTTCATACAGACGCTTCAATCTTCTCGATGTCTTTTAGATATCTCGTATATATTGTTGATTTTTATTTATATTATACACACATGTGATTATAAGTCAGACATTAGTCAAACATAAGTCAAGATATCATTTCGCGAAAAGGATCGCAGAAATAAATTATTGCGCCGCGTTATGATCAATCTATAAGTGACAACAAGTTAGAGAGCACTGAATCTGTGATTAAGCCCGCTCTGTCGTCACGTTATCTGGTTAACGTGTTTTATCACGATCAAATATTGATGCGAGCGATGTCATGTTGAAGAAAAGCAGAATATCGAGCATTTATCATCTCCCTGTAATTTCACCGATCCATAAAACCGTTGGCGTTCTCCGCAGCACTCCAATTTTGTTTCGTGTCGAAGCACGTTCGTATAATGGGTATAATTTTCTTGTATGCAACCATGATACATCCATATGGGCGCCTACATACACATCGTGAACCACATGCGAATGAATACACTCGCTCTCATAAATTTTTAAAGAGAAAAAAGTGAAAAATTGTGTTTAATTCTATTACTATGTCACAATTTTATAATATTTTCTTCGAGATAATTGTCGGGAAGAAATTTAGTTATAAATAATAGGTTCTTAAGAAGAATTCCGCTGACGCCTATGGTCGGCTTCTGCAATCCGCTTGTCCTTCTATGTGAGATAGCGCGTGCGAGATATTCATTTCATGAACTGCAACGACGATGAAGTCGCTTGCCGGCCGACTGCGCGGATAAACTCGCGAAGGAAAACGACGAAGAAAAGAAACGCAAGAATGATGGAGAAGATGTATGTCGCGTAATCGCGTATATACGACCGCATGCAAACTTATACATCGGGTGATCTAAGATCCGTAAAGCATTCCTTTAAAAGCGTGATCCAACAGACATTTAAAATACAATCTGTTAACAAGATTAAACTGTACATTTTTATTATGCTGATATACGAGATGTTCATTAAAAAATGTAGAAAAAATTTTGAAAAAATTTTCCTTCAGCAATAATTTTTAGCATTAATTCAGAATTAAATAATTTGCAAGATCATCTTTTTTTTATAAATATATTATTAAACTATTAAATACAATCTAGTAGACACCACTTTTCAGAAACGATTACGTATATCAAATTACTTTCGTTCATTTTATTACGAATTTTTATTTACAATAAGATAAAAGATATGTTGGCTGAATTGTTTGGCAGATTATTTTTTATCTTGACAAAATGTAATAACGCAGTACTATCTATTTTCCAATAAATGCACGTTCTGTTCAGCAGAGAACCAGAATGGCGCTCGCTAATCTTTTCCATTCCATATCTGAAAACCTGCGAGGGTACATAATATTTTATACAATAAACCAAAGAGTGGCAAACGAAAGAGTAATGTGCATATACGCAAGAGACATACCTCGATCGCTGTCTTGATCACCCTGTATGTGTAACGTGCTTTATCCGGCGAATATACGGCGAGCAACTGGCGATAAGGCGCGGCTAAACCCGCCCAATCAGCTATGTTTCACGGTGCTCGCGACATTACCACTTTATATCGCCTATCGTTCTCCATATATATTTACTCGTTCCACGTGCGTGCATGCCGTCGCCGCTTATACACATTCTTACACACGATATATCCCTGCGAGCGTGTAGGTGCGCACACTTTCGCCCGGGATACGTGCACGGGTGTGTAAAACGTAAACACCGGGGGGACGCCGATATCGGCACGCCACGGCGTGCCCCTGCTTTATGGTGTCGCTGATTCCGTTCCGAGAGGTCGATCTTTACGAGAGTCGCCCCGTCAGGAATTTTATTCTCGCCGCGGTGCCCCGCGTGGATTATTGTCGGAGATCGTATTGTTACATGGCAGAAATCTCTCCGCGCGGAAGATGCGAGCAGAGTAATGTGAACTATAAATTGAAAGCGGATAATGCGTTAAGATGAATAAAAGCCGCCACCTTTGTACGCATAAATAATGGCACTCATGTGATAAGCAGAATTAAGAGACAATATAATTATAGACACACACTTTTTTAATTTCATCTTTAAAATTTGTTTAAATTGACTTCCTTTGTGTGGAATACCACGATGGGGAAAAAAGTGGTAAAAGTATCGCGTTTCTGTTTATGAAGCAATCGTGCCTCATTCAATTATCAGAATCTTAGGAAGGCGCAGGGTGGGTTAATCGCACTGGGTGTGGTCCGCATGCAAGAGTTGAAATTATCAAATTAACAACTAGTGCAGCGATAAATAATCACATCGGCCGTGTTGAACAAAGGCAAGCACATGTATTCTCAGACGTTCCTGTTTCGCTAAACTTTTTTCTCGCCAGCGATAAATCTCGTTTGGCGCTCTTGTTTGACACACTGGCGAGTGTATGTATCGCGGGTATTTGCCAGTCTCATTAAAATGGAACTCCGATTTTATAACCCCCTCCCCGACTGCCGTCTCCGCCGCTCTATTAATAGTAGTTGATCGTGCGAGATGTCGATGGTAACGGGTGTGTTGAAATCGCGCGCACGGTGAGAATAGGTGCCACATGTG